CTGGAAGCAACCTAGATGCCCCTCAACTGAAGAATGGATAGAGAAAATGTGGTACATTTATACAATGGAGTACTACTCAGCAGAAAAAAGCAATGGAATCTTGAAATTCGCAGGCAAATGGATGGAACTAGAAGAAAACATCCTGAGTGAGGTAACCCAGTCCCCAAAAGATAAACATGAGCCTTCATCTAGTAGCTGTTTGAAGCAGAAACAGGAACTCACAGCTAAGCACTGGACCATACTCCTGGAATCCAGTTGTGGAGAGAGAGGGATGAGCAAAGGAGCCAAGATGGTACTGCAAAAAACCCGAAGAAACAGTTGACCTAACCTAGTGAAAGCATGGAGACCCTAGTCATAAAGCTGGGGAAATAGCATTGGACTGAACCAAGCCCTCTGAATGAGGGTGCCAGCTAGGAGGCCAAGACAGTCTGTGGGACCTCTAACAGTGGAGCCAGTCTTTAACCCTAGTGCATAAATGGATTTTGGGAGCCCATTTCCTATGGAGGGATACTATTGCAGCCCAGATACAGCAAGGAGGGCTTAGGCCCTCCCCCAAAATGATACAACAAACTTTGAGGTCCCTTGTGGAGGGCCTCACTATCCCTGGGGAGTAGTAGGGGGATGTGTTGGGGGGGCTGGGTGGGGAACATGGGAGGATGGGAGGGCAAGGGACTAGGGGCATCGATATGTAAATATGAGTAGTAATTAAAGAATTTAAATATAAAAATAAAAATAGATATCTCACTAAGAATAAATTACTAATAAATTTAATCTAACATTCACAAATTAATTCATAAAGTAATAAACAGATTTTAAAAATTAAGTCAACTTCTGGATTATTTCTGTCTTCCTTAGAAAGATCTCAAATTCTGAAAATCAATTTATATCTTTTAAGTTTAAATCTAAAGGATATAGACATTTCTAATGACTTGTAGAATTTAAAGAAGGTCTGATATTTTATTAGTATCTTAATTGAATATTTCAACATTAGTTAAAAATAGCCTAAAGTCAAATGTCACTTTTATGTTGCTTCTTATTTAAGAAGTCCCAATGTTTGGCTAATGAATTTAAAAATCTGTTAAGACAAAGAAATATAATAATATAAGGGCATTGGTATGTTGTGTACTACTTCTCTGGAAGTTTTATAAGTGTAAAATACAGATTTTCCATGATATCTTGGAGTGAAAAAGACAGCATATTAGAGTATAAAAACCATGAACTATTTTGCCTTCACACCTGAAAGTTTGTGCACAAGAGGAGGAAAGAATGAGCAGTAGAAATGAAGACTTCTCACAAAACCTAATCTTATTTTATTTTCTATATGATTACCAATTTAATGAATAAAAATTAGTTCAGAACCATCTACCTTTCTTTTTAGTATGTCATCCTCTACTTGTCAATAAGCTGACAGACTTGGTTGGATATATAAATAATATAGAGTCCTAAGTTGTCACTTAATTGGTAACCATAATGTCCTCCTAGATGCTATTCAAAATCTATCAGTAGATATAGTTTGTGTAAATAACATTGAAATATTCTCATATAATCTTTGAAATAATGAGACTGTAATATATTATAGTAGTATTATGGATTCCCAATGTATGGAAGTATCAGAGTTAAACTAACAAAGAGATTTATAGTACTTATGTCAATATGAAATACTCATCTGCTAAAAACTTCAAATTGAGTTGAAGCATTAGAGCATATTAGAGCATTATAAACTCCACTAAATTGTTAAGGAGTCTCCACATATGCAAAAATCAACTCTCAAATATTGTATGTAAAATTATATTTTTGATCATTCTTCTAATTATATGAAATGAAGAATTGATACATAAAAGCAAAATGGCTAAGATTTGTTTTTCAGGGTATCAAAAGATACCATTTACAGAAAACTCATGATAAAAAATATAAGGGAATTCATCCATACCAGTAACATTCTTGTCAATACCTAGACAATGTTTTAAAAACAAGCAGTAAGGGAAAAATAAATCAGTGAAAATTGTCATTGAGATTGAAAAATGCTTCAGAGACAGTATAAAACCCCATCTACCATGCAGTACATCGAAGGGGAAACACCTGTCAGCGTAGGATTATGTTTCAAAGGGAAAAAATTCAAAGAATGGATGTTAAGTGACATTTTCAAGTAAATGTCTGGTGACTAACTCTTTTCCGTAATTAATGTCATGTTTCCACTTAGTCCTGCATCTCTTCCTAACTTCATCTTTCCATTGCCTTTGGAACCACCATTCTACAGTGTACATTCAATCTCCATCACTGCTTTGACTTCAGTACCCCAGCAGATAAGCATTTCTAGATGTGGAGATGGCATTGACTAGATTTCTCTCTGCTGTCCCTTCCCCAGTCACACCTGGTCCCTCTTTACTTGCTACTTTTCTTCTGATGTTTTCTAGAACAGCTACTGTAGACTCAAGGAAAATGCATTACTGCCAAGTGGTTTAGAGTCTACAGATCAACACAGTTCTTGTGCATTGAACATGCTTACCATTAATCAACGCCAATCTACTACTAGCATATGGTACAGACCATCACCTAAGATCTCTTTCCCTGGCTATGATTGTTTGATAGCTATATTTATTGATCCCAGTCACCCACAGGATCCTGAAGAGAAGGACCTCCCTAAAATGTGTGCCATGGGCATGACCTTGGACTCAGCTAGTCCTGGCTACAATCTAGTTCCATCTGCTCTACTTTCTATTACATAGGTGCAGGCAATAAAGTCCCTGAAAAAAATCAAGATTTCTACCTAGAGTTACATTTTCAGTGCTGTCTCCATACTAGGAGCACTTTGCTACAGTGACAGCAGCCAGCTCACGCTACCTTCCTCATCTGCAACAGTCAGTGCACACCTCCTTTCCCCATGCTTGAAGCGGTGAGTTCACACTGCCTTCTGCACAGTGTCTATTTCTACCTTTCCCCTCAATTAGGTCCTTGCTTACTTTAGGTGGTCTTGACCCTAGTTTGTTCAAAAGTAATTCTTTCTGTTGGTTAACACACTATCACTCTTCTCTCTCCATTCCCATCCATGTTTCTTTGGGTCACCCTAGTCTCTTGTCTCTACACATGACAATAACAATTCCTTCATTCAGTGTCCTTTGGAAAGCCATCAACTCCAGGATCTACCATGTGTAGTGCTTTTCATGGTGCTACCACTGAAAGCTTTTCTTTAGTTGTGTATATCTGAGTTGCATGCTCCTTCTATTCACTTATTAAAAAAGGATATGCTTCTTCAACTTAAGTTGACTCCTGCTCTGCACTCTGCAGCAGACATGGAGCTCTCTAGGTCTGGAATATACTCAGAGCTGATAACAGTGTTGTTTTCAAAAACATCTCAGAGGCATTCTGAAGGCCGTGACTATAAAGAGTAAAATAACTCTCTGCTAATAGCACACCTGCCTTATCACCTTAAATCAACTGTATTACATTTAGAAAGGGAAGAATGGGTTATGAAAAATTTATTGTAGGACCAGGCGTTGCTGGCCCATGCCTTTAATCCCAGCACTCGGGAGGCAGAAGCAGGTGGATCTCTTTGAGTTCGAGGCTAGCCTGAGGTCCAGAGTGAGTGCCAGGATAGGCTCCAAAGCTACACAGAGAAACCCTGTCTTGGAAAAAAAAAGGAAAAAAAAAACAAAAAAAAGAAAAATTTATTGTAATAATTACATTAGTTAAACCATGGTAAAATATTTTCTTTGTAGCACTTGTTGTTATATAGATAAAAAATTAAATATAATGTTTACCTTTGCAAAAGATAAGAATTAAGAATATTCATGTTTTGTGATATCATATTCCAAGGTCTCAATTCTGATGATAAATAGAAATAAATTGTAAAATTAGGCTTCAGAATTGTTTAATAATACACTTTTAAATTAAGATTTCTCCAAATTATATGATGATTAACTTTGAAAATTGTGACCTCTAAATCATCAGAAGATAAACTCTTGCAATGTGAATCAGATGGTTATTTTCCTTTAAAAGATGACTGTAAAAAAGATTTAATATTTTCTGAGAAAAATATCTGAGGACTTCTCTCAACAACAGCCATGGGCTTGGGAATGTAGCTCTGGGTACATTTGAGAACCTGGATTTTATCCCTCTTACTAAAATAAAATAAAACATATGAACTATCCATGCACAGGGAGTTTTGGGTTATGTTAGAGCTAGTGGGGAAAACACAGAGTTGTATTTGTATTTTAGCATTAGAATGGAAGCTTCCCTGAATGGAAGCTGCCCAGTAATAAAAAAACATTAAGTGGAAGAACCATAAAGGCCAGAGTCGACATTGCTTCTTGATTTGTGAACTGAGGTGTAGGTGAAGGTTTTGCTTTGCTGTTAATAGCTTGTCTACATGTGTGGTCCATCATAGGATTAGTAACACAGAGGTGGGTACATCCTTGGATAAGTGTGGATACAAGGAAGGGGACTCAAACTGAATCAGGAAGTACTTGAATTTGTATCCAAAAAAACAAGGGCCAAATACTTACTTTGCATCTTATCAGGAATTCAGAAGACATGGGAGGAGGAATCTATGAGATATTCATGTCAGAAATAATGGAGTCAAGACACAGGGTGAGGTTTATCAGGAAAATGTTGTGAGCAGCGATGAGGGTGACTAAGGAAAGAAACCGAGAACAACCTAAAAGTTGTAGGGAAGCATCCCAGGGCAGCTGGAGTACAGAGGGCTCCCCAATGGGATCAATTGTATATGTGCTTGAATATTTCACAACAGAACAAATTTTTATATACTTGTTATCCACAAATTTGGGGAAACTTTAGTGAAAACTGGCAATATTTTCCTTCTTGCTTCATATTCTTTTGAAACCATACCTCATATTCTGCTCATGGTCTTGTTTTAACACTATCTACTCAAAGATACAAGAAAGCTTAAATGAACATATGTGTGTTTTAACTTTTATCAGTTTTGATTAAAAACAAGCCTTTAAAAAAATAACTTGGCCCCTTTCAATATTGCAGTTTTTAAGGATTGCAAGAATCATGAGTGTTTCACCAAGCAGAACTTTGAGAGCTAGTCTAACCTAAATATGTATAGGATATAACATTTCATAAAACACAAAGACTAAAGCCAAAATTCAAGTCTGGGATTTGTTAAAGTTTTTTCTGATGATTTGAAAATGTCAAAATGAATGAACATCTGATCCCTTCAGGAAACCTGGTGATAACAAGGGAGAATTATTCGCTCAGAACGAAAGCTCCAGAGTGTGTTCAGGAGCAGTTGGAAACAGACACAATTACATCAGGTGAAGTTCTCTTATGACTGGCAGAGTTGCTTCGAGGTGAAAGAGAAAATGCAAAAAATTTGGGGCTCCAGATGGCAAGGGATCTATTTTTAGGCCAATAGGAACTTATATTTGGTTGGGGCACTTAACAGAATGAGTAGCAGAAGTGTGTTGAAAGTAATTTAGACCTGCATTTGAAAGGGTACAGCTTGGGGGCAGATGGGAGCAGGTGTCACAAAAGCAGCCCAGGTCAGCCAGCAAGTTGGGGGAAAGGCAGAAAGAGAAGTTGCTCAGTAAAAGTTTAGCAGCACTGCTGGTCTCCCCAAATCCTTACTTCAGAAATACATTCAAGTCAAACATGGAAATAACCCATGAGCAAGGACATTTACTCTAGCAGGAAAAAATATTACTTCTAGCAGAAAAATAAGACAGGTATTTCAAATGTAAGATTCATTTTCTAGAGGGCTTTCTTTTTCAGTTGTGTAATGTTTTGCTCTCCAGATGTGCTAGAAAAATGCTTACTTCTTCAATTAAAAAAAGCAACAAACAATCATGTGATTAAATGACTGAAGTCAATTTCCTAGAAGCAAGAGGGCCTTGGTAGGTTGAGGAGGAGGCAAAGATAAACAAAGCAAAAGGAAATGTAAAAGTCCCTTTATGCCAATCAATACTTTTGAAATAAAAAGTGTTAAACCCTCTCAGGAGCCTGTACTTCTAAGAGTCCAATTGCTATGCCAGGCCTCAATGGCATCACATGGTATGGGTTTATCTGACACTCTTTGTACATGGCCTGCTTCTCCCACAAAGAGACAGAAGTACAACTTCAAGAAAATAGGACTTAAATGAAGAAGTGTCAGTATGGCTGTTGATGTTCCAGTGTCATGGCCAGTTTAGTATTTGGTTTTCACACAGAAAGTAATACTATGGAAACTTAAAAAAAAAAAAAAGTGAAATTCCATTTGAAAAAAATCAGTGATACAAAGTTCAATTTACATTATTGATGTTATTATCTAATTTCATTCTAAGAAAGGGGTAATGAAGCAAGATTATCTAGCTGTCTGAATTTCTTATTTCTTTATTTGTTCATTTATTCATTTATTAAATTTCATTTTACATTCCAACCACAGTTCTCCCTCCCAACCCTCTTCCTGCCTCTTCTCACCTCCACCCTCCCCAGCCCACCCCATCTACTCTTTCTGAAGGGTTAGGGCTTCCATAGGGAGTCAACAAAACCTGGCCCATTAAGTTGAGCCAGGACCAAGGCTCTCCCCACTGCATTAAGGCTGAGCATGGCATCCCACCATAGGGAATGGGCTCCCATAAGCTAGTTCATGTACCAGGGATAGATCCTGATCCTACTGTCAAGGGCCTCTCAGAGAGACCACCCTACACAACTGTCTCCCACACACAGAGGGCCTCACTCAGTCCCATGCTGTTGGTCTAGAGTTCATGAGTTTCCACGAGCTTGGTTCAGCTGTCTCTGTAGATTTTTCCATCATGATCTTGCTCACATTCTCCTCCCTCTCTTTGGATTCCCAGAGCTCTGCCTGGTGCTTGGTTTTGAATCTCTGCATCTGGTTCCCTCAATTACTGGATGAAGGTTCTATGATGACAATTGGAGTATTCACCAATCTGAGATATCTGAATTTCTAAGACCTTCCTCTAAGGTTACAAATTATGGCTGTGTTTGAATATCAGTTTTGCTTTTTTAACGAAATACATATCTCATTGTTGAAATTCTAGGAATAAAATAAAGTGAAAAGAATACTAAAGAAAATATATTTAGCAACTGGCACCCTGACAGGAAGTACAATAGCATGGTCATGAAATTCCTTTCTGTGTAATTGGACCAGTTGTATCTGCCGCCTGCCTATCTGCCAAACAAACAATTAGGAAGTTTGCTAATATATATGATAGAACCCTTGAGAATAACTGTGCTGTGTTACTGTGACATTCAAGTTCCCTTGACTACAGATTTCAAATTGGATGGCTAAAGAGCCAAATTAAGCATAAAATATTTAATTCATTTCTAATATTAAAATTTATTTATTTGCTACTAAATAGTATTGCAAATTCTTATTGGTGGTTTGGTGCTTATTTGTGTGATTTAGTGCTCCAAACAGGGATAAGACTGTCATCAGTTGCCTAAGTAGAAATTATGTTGCTTTATATAAAGCACTTGAGTTCCTATTCCATGGGCCCATGGATATTTTATTTGCATTCTTCTTGTTTTTTTATATGTATTTTTCTTTATTTTTGAGAATTTCATACTTGCATTCAATGAACTATCTACCCTTCACTCTCCTCCATGTCCTTCCCAGCATAGCCTATCCCAACTTCAGCTCATTTTATTACTCCTATCTGATAAACCAATATTTTTTTAAAAAATTATTGTTTACAGTTAGTGCTGCCCATAGATATGTGGATGTGTGGCCATCCAAGGGATTATGGGAAACCCAGCAGTGGCCACACCCTCAATTAAAGAATGGTTCTTTCTTCCTCAGCAATCATCCACTGTCAAAGTCTCTTCAGTGTAAGGCAGGGCCTGGAAATCATCTGTCTCATTTATACTGGGATTTTGGAAGGCTTAGGCATGTGCAGGTCTCAAACAGGGAAAAATAGAAAAATTACCCATGTACTTTAGAAAAATCTGGCTTCTTGTGGGGAAATAGAAAATCCAAACTGGCTTGAAAGGTAATAGAATCAAAACACTAAGGGAAAAAAAAAAGGCAGTGATTTGCCAAGATTGGTGGAAGTTTGTTTCAAAGCTAAGTTGCAACAGGAAGGAAGCTATGATTTCAAACGGGTTTTAAAGTTAAAGATCCCATCCAAGCTCTATTATTGAGCAGATCCTATTGTGATGGTAATGACATGTTGTGTGGGAAGTGGTGGTTTTCTTGGAATGGAGAGAGAAAGAAATTTGCTGTGATTGATGTACCACATGAGGGTCAAACCACAAAATCACTGACTTGCTGACTGTCCAACTCAGTGTAATTGGGTTGCTTATTTTGCTAAGAATTCCAAGTTTATATACGTGTGTGTGTGTGTGTGTGTGTGTGTGTGTGTGTGTGTGTGTGTGTTTGTGTTTGTGGGACTGACTACTTTATGAGTTCATTACATTTTCTCTGGGGAAAAGAGGTATTGTAGTTAGCATCAGAGTCACTTTCTATGTGCTTTATGATGGGTGCTAATCTGAATGAAATACATCTACCTTACCAGTTCAGTGCAAGACCACCCAAGAGGCCTTTCATGATTGCACTAAATTTCCTACATGCTAGCAACAGGCTGTTGAAGGTAACTAGTGGGAGAGTATGTGGTGCCAATCCCACCAGTTCACAATTTGGCTTGAGACAAAAAGGAAATAATTTTGAGGCCTCATTATGTCCAAGTGGATTAAGTACTTTTTAATATTTCATAGTCATTTTAAGTTTCTAAGTAAATTAAAGAATATGAACATGTCTGAGGTGAGCCACAGTGGTAGTCTGTACTTCTGAAGTCTGTTCCTGGTTCCTGGAGTTCCTTCCAAAGGGAGACTAGAGCTCAATAAAGAAGGGGTGAGAATTTCCTAAAGCCAGATCTACTGTTCCTGAGGGATTTGGGAGGAATGGATACTCTAGTTTCTCAGTCCAAGAGAGCTAAATTTTATCAGGTATTCTAAAGTCCTGGGACAATGAAAGAACCTTCAAAGAAAAGAAAAAAAATCAAGATTACATTTTTTCTTTCTGGGGAGATGGGCTATGGCTTCAGTTTAAAGAAAAAAAGCTGTTAAATATAAAATGTCTTGTCTTTTCAAAGGAGGGACTTAAAATTAGATACAAGACTCTTTCAGCTTTTTCCCAAGATTCTTGAGAGTCTACCTTTACTTCGTCAGAGATGAAAGAATAGCCTCTTTCAGAGGATTCTCGTCTGGATTTCTCTGAAACACCATAACAATCCCTTTCAAAATAATTTAAACCAATACCAATATAATGAGTTAGTTAAACAAAAAAGCAAGGAGGCTGAAATATAATGTTTTTAATTGATTTTAATTTCTTTAGGGGCACAAAAACAGCCCAGTTTGCCAATTAATATTTAGTGGAACAAAACAATGATCTTAAACTTTTCATTTTTCTGTTAACACATTTTGAATTTGGAAAGCTTGAAAATGTTTAAAAATTCAGATCATCTTTCTCAACCAAGGTTCCTTACCCAAACCACAGAATATAGAAAACAAACTGACTTTGTAACACAATAAATTAAAAGACTCAAAGACATATATTGCGGTTCAAACTGAAGATCAGGGAAGCAAAGCAGCCAAAGTATCAGAGAGCTCAGGCATTCCTATTCTCAACATGGCTGGAGAATGAATGCTTGATACTGAGACCTTGCTCCTGTCTTATATACTTCCCTAATGCTGGGATTAAAGGTATGTGATCCCAGGAGCTGAGATCATCTTTGTGTGAGCTGTTTCTCTTTAGGACTGGTTCAATCTTGTGTAGATCTGGCTGGCCTTGAACTCAGGGAGATCTGTTTACCTCTTACCCTGATTCCTAAGGTAAAAGGTGTGCACCATTACCTCCTAGCTTCTGGCTGCTGGGATTAAAGGTATGTGCCTGGTTTCTATGGCTTGTGTCTGACTTTGCTTTCAGAATCTTCAGGCAAACTGTAATGAATCATAAATAACATATCACCACATGATAGAAACTTTCCTGTTTATGTCAAAGAATGTGCATATTAGCATTTCTTCCATCATAGGAGAAAAAAATGTATTCGTTGCATGTAATGCATGGCTTACAGACTTCACACCTCTTTCCTGCTGGGATTCCTTTTTGTTTAATTTTGGAGGACAGTTGTACTCTAGCCACTTTCTCCCCTCCAGTACTATCTTAAATGTAGTATCCAATAATTATTGCACTAAAGAGCCCATAGTTGTTTAACACACAGGCCTTTCTTCTTTTTTTATAACAATATTTTCAAATGCTACATTCAAAAACCAATGTCAAAGGAATCATTTGACTGGTAGTTTTTGTTATTAACTGGGAAAAGAGTCCCAACAAGGAACTATCTAGATCATGTTGGCCTGTGGGTTCTCTGTGGGAGATTCTCTTGATTGTGTTAACTAGGGTGCTTTTAAGGGCAGTGCATAATTCCATAGGCTAGAGTCCTGGGTAGTCTATGAGTGTCAAATACAAGCTAAGCTCAAGCATGCATGTATTCATTCCCCCTCTGCCTTTGACCATGGATATGACTGGCTGCTTCTAGTTCCTGCTGTTTTGACTTCATGGCATTGACAGATTGTAACCCAGAATTATAAGCCAAATAAGACATTGATCCCTTTAGGTACTTTTATCAGAATATTTCATCATAACACAGGACACAAAACTGAAATAAGTGACAAGTTAGGAATTTGTCATTGGATTACTTCTTTTGTTAAATATTATTTTTTTCCCACTGAGTCGTACTCCATTGTGTAAATGTACCACATTTTTTTCTATCCATTCTTCAGTTGATGGGCATCTAGGTTGCTTCCAGGTTCTGGCTATTATAAACAATGCTGCTGTGAACATAGCTGAAAATATGTCCTTATTGTATGAATGTGCTTTCTTTGGGTATATACCTAAGAGTAGAATTGTTGGATCTTGAGGTAGACTGACTCCCATTTTCCTGAGAAACCACCATACTAATTTCCAAAGTGGTTGTATAAGTTTGCACTCCCACCAGCAATGGAGGAGAGTTCCTCTTTATCCACATCCTCTCCAGAATAAATTGTCATTGGTGTTTATAATGTGAGATGATCCGTAGTCCGTAAGGTTAAGATATCTTTATTCAAATAAACACCAGCCAAACACAAGCCAGAGTGTGCCAGGGGCAGCATGGTAGGCAGGCCAGAGAGAAGGGCCCCCATGTGCCTTGAAGCTCCTTAAAAACCTATCACACATCATCCTGACCTCACCTTGACCATGCCCTGACAGGCATGGTCAGGCACACCTGTAGCCAGCCCTTAGGAGGCGTGGTTGTGGTGTCTCCCTACAATTCCCCTTTTAGTCTAAAAGAGGATTAAAACTTAACAGTCTAAAGTATCCAAAATTAATAATCATAAAGGTGAAATACAAGAAGATACAATAATCTGCTATTGCACATCCT